CGAACATAACGGAGGTATTATTAAATAAAGAAAATGCTACGAATAAAAATATTTTCCTAGGAAAAAATTAAATTTTTTATTGTTATTTTTTCAATTTTCTTAACGCTTTGTTAACCGATCATAAGTAAATTTGCGTTTCCTTATGTATTATTTCAAGTAATTATTGAAGTACAAAATTATATGTAGTTACAATGTTACTTATTGTTTTGGTTAGTATGTGCTTAATTTATTTCCACACTGATAGTATTTTTTGCGATTTAGTAATTTAACATTTTTATTAAATTATTATTATTATTTGTAATTATAAAAATAGGGATATGCTTCACGTGCATGGTTCAGAATATGTTAACAAATGTGACAAATTTTTATTTTGTTACTGAATAATTTTTAATTTTTCTCGTGCTCCACGCAATCTCTATTATTTTTATGCAGTTATCAACATGAGAACATTTTAATTGATCTACGTGTATTTATAATTGAATCACAAGTACGTGAATCGCGTGACTCTTAAAGTACGCCCTTTTTTACTCGAATATGTTTTACATGTCAGCTTAGAGTGTAGAGTGTTTCAGATAATAAATCTTAATTCAGTTATATACTACTAGATTAATTGTTTACATTTAGATTATTCATTCTTAATGAAAAAAGATTCTTTTCTGAAAGTTTAATTCTAACGAGAAAAGAAAATAGAATTTGCAAATGCACATATTTTTATATACAAAATAATATCTATTGTTAGATCTTACACACCTTCGCTGTGTTGCCAAATATTTGAGATGCTCAAGATTTTATGTTTCGTATAAAGAAAATTAAATTACTCCCATGTGTTTTTATCGGAAATCATAATCCATAGTGCAAAATGTAAGAAGTTGACTAAGGTAAAGGAACCAGTAATTGACTTGGTATCAGCAGTTCACCATTTTTCCGGAAAATGTAAAAACTAAGGTTTTTAAAAGTAAAAATTTTTCGAAGAAGGCGCGATCGATATGTTGCAGCATTTACCGGGCCAACTCTGAAACACTTTTTACCTGAATTAAATTGTTCATCGTAAAAACTGACGATTTATTTCATTGACATAAGTTGTATGTCTCCGTACTGTAATTTCCGTAAAGAAATGGTGTATACTTCATGGTATGAAATTAACTTCTTTCAAGTTGTATTTGTCTTTTCACTTGTAATTTGTCAGAATCGTTGCCAATAAACGATATTAAAGTAATCAGCTTTAGTGTTTTTGGTTTTACTATAACATAAAGTCAGTTACTAGTTTTCTTATCTTCAAGGATGGTTTGGTCAATTTCTGACGGAGTATTAAATTTTCAAATATTTTTATAAAATTTCGGTAATATAATTATTTTAAAAAAGAGCGATTTGTTACATAATGCAAGAAGTTTAAGCAGCATTTTCACACATTGAGTCTCTCTATTTAATAAAAGAATAATCGTTTACTATTATTCATGCAGAACATTTTTATTAACTAGTCAATTACTGGTGCTTTTACCTTAGATGTTTTTCTTCAATTTATTTTCATTTTTTAAACCCGATTTGTTGCATTTAATGAAATACTGTAGTTATGAACATTGCTTTCAAAACAAAGGCTAGTCGCAAACGTATTAGCCCTTTCGTCCCGAATGGTACACAAAGGTACCACGAACATTTAAAATTACCTGAAAATTAAAAAAGACCTAAATAAAGGCAAATTGTACCACACGAGGATCTTTGCTTATGGCTGACAGTTTAAATGCTAATCTACTGTCAGTACATGCATTTTAGTTGATTACTGTGCAGCCATAAGTTTTTTCACAAAACTCATATATATAAAAAAAAAATACATATTCACGGACGAAAGGATGAAATCGTTCAGAATAAAGTAATTTTGCCTCATAACCACACTAGGTATTTCAAATTGATTAGGACTCCAATATATTTTAGTCCTTTGTTTTCAATATTTTCATGATACGATCGATTAGGGTAGTGCGTTTATGGGAAATGCTTGTTCAAAGGGACTGATACTCTTTTTGGGGAAGCAGCGCGTACGACTTCCCGAAGAATTTAATATATTAAAAGGGATGGGGTGAAACTATTTGGGCCCACACCCTCGCCTAATTCTAGTCCTTTCGGTCTTCACTCTGTCAATATATCATCGTGCCGTCTAGATCACAGTTCTCGAGGAGAATCCTCTTCTTATACAAACGTAACACGTCCCAACAGTTCGGTGATTTTTCCGTGCATTCTCGAACGCGCGTCGGTGGAAAACATCATAGTTATACGCTTGACGATACGAACTTTTTGCGAGCAATTGGCAAATCGAAATTTAGCGTACAATGCGCACATTATAATTCGGCCGTATACGCTGTTACAGATTTACAACGTCGATACTGGTGCAAGCGTTTCCGCGTCTCAAGTGTATCGTAGACCTGACAAACACAGATCGTTACTATCACGGAAAGGTAAGGTGAACACTCATAAAATACACATAATTGTGTGAGAGTAACATATAAATATTTCCTCGTTTCTTTCGGTCACACCGTGGAATCGAATTTTCTATTAACATTTTGCTGCTGAAATAATCAAATTCTTTGACAAATTAAATGCTGTTGTTAAATATTGTTTCCTATGTGAATAGTGGTGGAAGGTGTTTCAGAACTGTGATCCTGGTTTGAATGAGTAGGCCCTTTGAACATAAAAGCACGCTGATGATATACATATTACTGATACGGATACATTTCTTTAACATTAAACGTACGAGTTTCATCAAAGGACCGGTATTAAAATTTGATTTAAAATTCTACATTTTATTTCAATCGTTTAACTTTATACCAATTTATTATTTATTGTCGGATTAATCAATCTTTCAATTTCAGTCTTTCTTTCTGTTTCTGTTACCACTAAGATAAATTTGTCGTCTAACTTGTTTATCTTTGTTTTATAATCAATTCAGCAGGTTACAGTAGAAATAATTTTATATAAAGTGCTGGTACGTTTAGTGTCATTGTCAGTTATTATTTAACCCATTGCCCGTCCTGTACATCACATATGATATACACAACTCATGCTTTATACGCTTTGTATCACATAGATTACACTTTTTAGAATATATTACATGTGATGCGCAATGCGCGCAAATGAAACAATAATTTTCAGACGTCTGTATCATGTAACATGTAAGTACATATCTTTTTAATTATTTTATCCTTTATTACGCATAGAAATGTGTCCTACTTTACCAAATATAGCAAATATTCGGTAAATGAAAAAATTTTAGTTGTATATTTCAGATATTGTTATTTCGACCAATATGGACAGACAATGGATTAAATATTATATTTTAGAAAGTTTTATATTTTATGGCACTGTCGAAAAATCGTTTTATTTAAAGAGGAATATATACTCAGAATGATATAAAACATGGATTTTCATGTTGTTTAGATGTTTCTTATACTTCATGCTTCAAGAATGTTTACTCGTATCAGTTTTTGAAAATTCTTGAAAATTCAAGATCATCTTGCTTCGAGAAACTGCCTGTACGTTAAACGGATTTTTCTTATTCTTGAGTTTAATACTAGTTTTACGGATGTTCATTGTACAGCTTATTCCATTGTTCCTAGAAAAACCAAAGTTCATTCGTGTAGATCTTGGAAGTTAGAGATTTAAAAATGGACTATTAGAATACACATTCCTGTAATCGCAATAATCAAAACCGACATATACGTTGACCAAGTAATATTTATAAAATTCAATACGTGTGAAATTGACGCGTTCCGTAAACCTAGTGTTATCAAACGTGATAACTTCGAAACTTACGTTATCAATTTCTCTGAAACTTCACATAACTTTTGTTACATTATTGCACTGCTTTCGATTTGTCGAATTTTTTATTGTATAGGTATACAGATTTCCTTTTTCTTTCGAATGAAACAGAATTGCATGCGAAATATTTAACTGCTTCTTCAGACGCTCATCGTTACCTTCAAATTTGATATTATCAAAATAAGAAAGTATTTTTGCTTTTACGATGAAGTGAAACCCGTTTGCACAGGATGGTGGGTATATATCGCAAAGGTATTCGGTGGACAACACAGTTGGCCGTATCTTCTGTAACTGACATTTATTATTAATATTTTTTCGCATAAAAATTTGTTATTGTAGTCAAAGGTGTACACACTGAAATAGAAAAAAAGGAACACGGTATTCCTTAGTGTTACAGAAAAAGAATTCTTCATATGTGCTGTGTTTTAGGTCACTGCGAGTGTATGTACTTTTTCGCTATATCCAAAATATATCCGACAACATGTTCTTTTGCTTTTAAGATGCTAACGGGTTTTCGGACTTTTCTGTACACTAAAATTTGTTGCTATATCTAACGCTTTGTATAAATTTTAACTGCGTTATACTGTAATTTGTCACAATTTAATTCTTTGCAATCGAAAGTTTTTCAGTAGATATATTCAACATTTTACGATGAGATGTAGACGACATTCTTTGAAACTAAGCAATGGGAAAGCATATATAATTTAATAAGAAAGCTATTTTCTTTGAATATTTCGCGTATTGATGCATTATACAAAATTTAATTTTACAAAATTTAATATTATATATAACATTTTGTAATTTTGTTCTATCAAATCCAGTGGCGAGTGAGTCACCCCGAGATTGTAGTTTCAGTTAACTGCACCGTACCTGTTAAAATGAGGGCTTTTAATTTTCTTATTTTACAGTTATTGATACTTTAAAAGTATTAAATATCCGAAATGATTTTGAAAATAAATGGTTTCCCTTAATTAGTTAACTGCGTTCGACGAGTATACATGTCATCTTAAAATCAAAATGATACTGATTCTTTCAACGATTATTTATTGTATCAGATAAACATGTAATTCTTTTTCGGTTTGCTTTAAGTTTTCGTCAGAATCTATTATATTAGGTGCATTCGACCTGCGGTTAACGAGTATAAGCTTCATTATTTAATATCATGGCGAGCATTATCAGAGATTGTTCACATTAAAATCTACAGTTAATAGGTTAAATACTATAATTAATATCTGAAGAAATCGAGAAAAATATATTGTCACAATCTTTATAAGGTCTTTATCTTAATTTAATTCTAGCGTTAAGGACATTGAAAGATGCGTTTTTTGATGTGTTAGATTTCTTCATGGATTTAACATCATTTAGGGATTTTGCATTTAGAGTTTTGAAACAATATCAACCTCAATATTTATACAGCAATGATATTGTCAAAGTATTGCGAGGTATTTAGCAGATTTATCTGTCTCGTGCCATTTAGGTTTACGCAATGCAAACATTTCTGTTTTAATACTTCATTAACCGCTTCCGGTCGAATATACTTTAAATGATGAATGAATGTATTTGCTGTCTAAAATCAAAAACTGCAAATAATTTAATTATTCAGCTAACGAGAAACTTGCATGCAGTTTTCTTTCTTTTAGTATTTAAAACTGCGATGAATAAATCTAAAATAATTTTTATGAAAAGAAATGTTAGAAATTTAATACAGTCTCGTCCGCAAAGGGTTAATAGGTTTTCAATAATTATTTCATATCGAAAAGCAGTTTAATAATTCCCTTTAGAAAATATTCTCAAAGAAAAGTGATTGGATCGTGTTACTCAAGATGACTTTGTTGAATGAGGATTGTAATCGCTATTATTATTAGAAGATTCATTAAGAAATCTTTAGACATTGATTATTAGTGTTCAATAAATTGTTCAATAACCGTTAGCAGATACTGTGTTAATTATTAGCAATCAAGCATTTTGAAAGCATTCTACAAACGAAACCTACATTACTCGTTTATATAATCTTCTCAGATAAAGAATTACCTTTCCTGTTCCTAGAATTTAATCTGTCAAAGAAGTTTCATTGTTCTCGTATCATTTTTATAGATCTGTTTAAAACCAGAAATTGTATTCAGTTTCGTGGTACGATTATACGTAATGCGGTGATTACAGGCAATTAACTAATTCATACATGAAAATGATATTGAAAATGGAATGAAAGAAGAAGTATGATATGATGTCAAGTAACTGTAAAAGATATTGTATATTGTACCTATGTTGACTCAGACTCCCTCTTTTTTTAGTAATAGAAAGCGAAAGACGTCGTTGATTCGTCTCTCTTCGCAAGCTGTCGCTAGCCGCATTCCTTGATTGAGCAGATATCCAAAAGCGTGCGTGCCTACCGCTCCTTTACTTTGTCTTCCCTTATCTCCGTCCCTCTATCGCCTTCCGTCCCGTTTCCCCTGTTTCTCCGTTACCGCCTTTCTCTTCCCTTTTTTTCGCCTTTTCTCACTTTACCTCTTGTTCTTCCCGTGGAAACCTAATATCGCGTCGGGCTAATTCCGACTTTATGTAGTATTTAAAAAGCGGTCGAATGGCCCTAACTAATTTGTAACAGGGATAGAGGGACCGCGAGGGCTAATGAACATATTATTAGATTTCGGGAATAGTCGACTGCCAGCGACTACGCCGCCGATCCTCGGTGTCTAGCGAGAGCGTGACCGTTTTTAATCGGACCTGTCACAACCGAAGACCGATCAATTATATTAATAAGTCCCAAAGTCGAGACTGTGGCTGGTTGCTTCATCTCCTTTTTTTCTCTCCTCGGGTGGTCATTTGCCACGCGAGAAGAACTGGAATTCACGAGGGAAAAATATTTTAACGGCGCTAGGGACGTTTGAACCTTTGAACGTTAGTGGTGCCGCAGCCCGTCGATAATTAATACGGACATCCCATGGTGTCACCCGCGACTAATTAGAACGAATTAGATTTATTGGTATTCACGGTGGAAGAATCTAATTTTTAAACATGCGAAGCACGTCGCTCGAAAACGAAAGATGCATTTACTGAAGTGAAGGATTGTGCATAGTTCACAAAGATGTTGTCTATATACTCTGATATCTTACTGAAATAGGTTTTCTATTCTTGGGATATTTTTATTTGATATTTTTATTAATAAATTGGTATGAACGTTTGTGCGAATCTGACAAATAGTTTAATTGAAGTCGTTCGTTGCAGCATCAATTTCTTTCATTAAATGAAACTAATAATTCTGTTTTTTCAGTTTTAATTTGAAAATTATCATATTTTGATCATTTTATTCAAAGAGAAACTACTTATGTCTCCTACTCATTGTCTCATGTTATAATTTAAGTACCTCAGGATGTAACGTATTGCAAGAAACTCAAATCGTGCATAATTAACCCTCCGTCAGGAATATGGACCATTTATAGTTCTTTTTGAAAATTTCATTATTTAGTTTCTCCAAAACGGTGAAGTCAGACTGCCTGGGTGTACCACCTAACAAATATTGTACCTATAGAGGTTGAACATCTCAATTACTGTTCTTCATGATCAGTTTAATTCCAAGTTTTGGAATAATAAAATAATTTTTGTTTCATCAGTGGTATATATATATATATTTTATGATTTGTTTATAATTTATCTTTATTCATCATCTACAATTGTATTTTTCAAAATAATGGTTTATTTTGTTTTCCACTGGTATAACCTATTAAAAGTTCTTCCAAATTGAAGTCTCAAAATAATTATACTTTCTTAAAGGCTGGCATATCATTGCATATTTTTCGAAAGATCATAGCCTTATGAGTAAAACCCTACAATATCTTTTTTTAGTATTTGCTTATTGCAAAATTATACATCTTTAAGCAGAATCTTATTCTTTATAATTTCACCTCGATTTTTAATTTTTATTGCAAAATGATATGAAGATTTGGTTAAAGTGCTATTTCTGCATTAAAGTAGGGACTATAATAAATGTTTCATATCTTTTTTTAGATGTTTACAGAACTCACAACAATGATAAATCAGATCTGACCATAAAATGACCATATTGTTAACCGTGTTAGAGAAAAAGCATATTGCTGATAGAGGGTTAAGTGTGTATACGTTTACTTATATACTATATGATAGTGATGCGTGTGATCTTGCGAGATTATCTTTGAGATAAACATTAATAGCAGTATCGTTTTTCACATTGTCAGAATTATTTCTTTGAATATTCTTGCACACCGGAATATAGCTGACTAATTAAGAGAGAGAAAGAGAAATAGTAAGGAGGCTGAAAAAAGAAAAATGGAAAGAAGTATGGACAGGGAAGATATGGTGCAAGTATTTTACTACTGTAACCTGGCAGATTGATATTAAATATTTTACAATGACAAGTAAAAAAATGTATAAATATTTCTTTTCCAGAATATCCTGCAAATGAATTTTTTTATGTTGAAATTTTCATATCCAAAATTTTAACAGGTTATGGGCGACTCGTTTATAGCCTTCTATGTTTGTCTGGCAATGAACGAATGAGCATCGATTTTTTCATACTGACTCTTTAGGTTCTGTAACTTTAAATATTTAACACGTTGAATGTCATGCAGGGGTCACCGATGACCCTCAACCAAATCGAATTACTGTAGTTCATTGAATTAAACGATGATTATTTGGAAACATTTCTGTATTATAAATATGATTTAGTGTTATATTTTTTTCCATTTTGTGTATTTTTCTCTATGAAATCGCGCGGCATTCAAGGTGTTAATCGTATTCTTAATACGTTCAGTTAGAGGTCAGTATACGTTACATATCGGACAGAAGTTGCTTTTGAATAGTTAAGTTCGATACTTGTGTATCTATATCCAGCGGCCTATGGTTGTGTGATCAATTTTCATGAATAGTGAATTTTCAACCATTTTAAATTGTAATATGTGCAATTATAAAATAAATCAGAATTAAGCAGACAGAAATTGAACAAATTGTCATCTCTGGAATCCGAATTGTATAAATTCGCCCATATTGAACGTATTAACGATAAGATTTTAAGAATTTCTATGTTTAATAATTACTATCGAGAACTCAGCAACTGTTTATGGTATTTATGGTGCCAGAAGATTCTTCACTTAGAAGTATTTTCATAAGAAGAACTTAATAGGTACATCGTTGAATAGATAATCAAATTTCGTATCTCATATATTTGGTCTGCGCATCTTCACATAGTTTCATGGGCACAATGTAATATGCTTAGGAATAATTACAAGATTTTGAGTAAATTGTTTCAAGTCATGCATAAATGTAATTATTATACAATTTTTGTTATAGAATAATTGTACTTTAATAAGAACAATGTTCATTGACTCTTTTACAATAGAATAATAAGGATGTATTTAAAATTCATGTGAAATTGTTCTCGTACTCTGTCCCATTGAACGAGCTACTTGATTTTATACTTTTTTTCTATACCTCGTTTCTTTTATGCATGGTATGCTAATATCTAATTAACTCTTTTTATTTTATTAATTCTCAAATAACTACTTGTTCTAGGAATTTTAAATATTGAAGTGTGCATTTAATGTTTGACATTCATTATAAAATAAAAATCTGTGATTACTAACCTTCAACTCCGTGTCGTACAATTTCTTTCGTAATCGTGCGTCTTAGAACTGTTTTATATGTTAATAATAGAACCACCGAGCAATTAAATTGAAGTTTTGAAATTTCTGTATAGAAACTCCAAGAATGCATCTATCGAGACTCCAATTGGTTTATAATTCACTTTGCGTATTACCAGATCAATTGCTCTAATAATTTTCCAGACAAATATTTGTTATCTTTATAATAATTGTAAAAAGAAGAAATCAAGAATGGGTCATTTTGACCCGCCTGGTAGTTTTAGTGTTAATAGTTTACTAGGAAACAAAAGAATTCTATGTTCGTTCTATAATTACGTTTATTGTATCGATTATGAATTATGTAGTAGCACGAAAATAACATTTTATTTGAGTTCAAAATTCAAAAAATAATATTTTATTTGAATTCAAAATTGAATGGTGTCTATGGTTGTTAAATTCTCTTTGAAATCTTCATCACGAGTTTGACATAATGAAGAATTAATGCCATTTTGATGCAGGAATTCACAAGCCGTGGCATCAGGTACGAGAAGATTTGGGTCCGTGGGCGGGAAGTTCCCTCTATGAATGAGGTGAAAAAGTAAGTGCATTATTTTCATTATATCTGTTGATTACTATATATTCTGTACAAAATAAAAATATATTTTCCTATGTACCCCGATATTAGAGAAGCTAAAAAAGATTTTTTTCTTTATTCTTGGGTGTATGTAAAGCATAATGCATTCTCTTAATAACTTGCAATAATATTAACACTTTCGCGACGGGCGATTATCGGACAAAACGTTTAACTAAATACGAGCATGTAATTTCCAAGAGTCTGTAGCTAAGTATGGCAAGGTTCTGTTATTTGCAGATATGTGAACATAAAAAATATTAATTATTGTTGTTGGATTAATGAATTTTTATTTAAAAAGATGTATATAATTTTTTATTTGAAAAAAGAAGAAATACACTGTTTCATATGGATTTGTTAAATTTATTACATGCGTATTTCTTTTCAATGTGAATTGTGGACTCGAATTGTACGATTTCAATTTACTCGGCATTTTCGGGGAACCAATCTATCGTATAAATTGAAAATTAGATGTACAAGCTTTGCTAGAGATGTTAGAACTAAATACTTGGTTCTATAAGCATAAAGAAAGAGGTATTTACTAGAAGCAGTATTCATAGAATGTCCCAGTAAATATTAGAATTCCCATGTATAACACTTACTATTTACTAAAATCATCAACTGGGTAAATACTATTGTAATTTCAAATAAGTCACTCGTTCGTCTTAATTTCTGCTAATCTTGTATAGTATTTACTTCAGATTTTCCAGCATTTACTGTCTAGTACCAATCAAACATTATATATAAGAAATCTAACATTTGCCTTTACTTATACTTAATAATTTATAAGCACTTACCTCCTTTCATGGATACGAGCTTTTGATTTGTATGGGTTTACGTAGAACTCTCGGTATCATAAATTTAATGGTTAGTGTAACTTTTAAATCGTTAACCGGATCGGCTCCCCTTGGAAAATACAAGTAGCACCGTGGCCCTCAGACATTATGGCAACCATTGGAAAGATCATCTAGTTACTTATCTGGCGTGGGCGTCTCGGTTATTCAAACCGCATGCAAACGTACGCACAGAACACGACATGAAACTCATGTACGAGCAGTGTTAACCACGTATCTTACTTAATGCCAATCGTATTTCACATTTACTGCACTTTCCACTTTAGCCCCCTACGGTTATCGTCGATCGATCAACACTTGATCTGCGTGATGCAGGTGATGTTCAGTTAATCATTTTGTACCTAGCAGTCTATCACATTTATTTGAAAATTATCCACGCCTATTTTGTTTCATGTACAATTTTTTATCACTAAGTTTATAGGCATTTATTGTACAATTTATTCTATTTTTCTTAAAAAAATTGATGCTTGTTCATTTGGATCTTGGAAATCAGAGGTTTAAATATAGACAATTACATAGGATACATATTCGTGCAATTGCATCGATCAAAACCGACCTAAACATTTACTACATAATGTTTATAAAATTCAGTATGGGTTAAATTGACGCGTCTCGTAAACCTAGTGTTAAATAAATAACGAAATGCTGATTTTATTATAGCATTGATACTTCTGATTTATCCATTAGAAATAATCAAAAATGCATGATGCGGAAGATTCAGTTTTCTAGTTGTCTCAGTAACTGTAGTATAAGATCAAATTCATTTTATTGCAGTTATAGAGGTTAACGCGATGGCGATGAAGAAATCTTAAAAAAACATTGTGCACATGTAATACAAAAGTAAAATGTATTTGTATCCAAAAACACAAGAGTAAGTACTTAGATTTATAATGTACCTATTTAGATTGAAAGTGATTGGACAGTAGCCAAATATTCGTATAAACTTTTGATAGTTTTTCTTCAAGCATGTGATCAATGGGTTCATTATAAGTGATGAATAAAAGTTCAGACATTTTTATGCGTTATTCTCACAGTAAATTTCCGTAATCATATGCGAGTTTTGACCAATACTTTCCTGCAGTGATGGACTGTTCAAGCTAGAGAATTTAACGGTTAATAAAAATTTCACGGTTGAGAGCATGTCGCAAATTATGTATACTTTTTGATTCTCGGTTTCATATGTGTTTTACATATGCCAAAATAGATATTTACAATATAATATTAGGTAATAATATTATCTTATATGTATTCTAATGTATCATATATTAATATATTAATATTAATATAATATTTGATATATAATTTATTATATTATACTATTATCTTAATAATACTATCTAATATTATATTATACTAGTGTATAGTAAATTAATTACATGGACGCTTAATTAAAATTAGGTTTACACTTTTATAAAATGAATATGTGAATTTTCGTTTTTCCTTTCACATGTATGTAGTAGAACATATTATGTGCTGATAACAATGGGTTGACAAACAAACAGTATGACTTTTGGAAAATTTCCATCAGCCCAGCGTCTATGCTTGTCATTCGAGTCATCGTAAACCGACGTACCGAGCACTCAACGACACTATTTATGTACGTTGACGTTTGACGTTTTAGAGATATGTATAACGCGTTGGTGGAGAGTTGGCACCCGGGACAGCGAAGGGGCAAGTGGTATCTTTCACTCACTGTTTTGTTTATGGTATTGATTAATCACCGTGCGATTGTATTGGTGAACAGCACGTTACTGCCGAAAATGCATATGAGAAGAGGCGTACTTCCTTCCACTCCGACGAATTAGTCCCACAGTCGTTCCAAGTGCCAGCTCTCCATCAACGCGTTATACATACCCCTAAAACGTCAAACGTCAATGAAAATGTACGGTTTATTTCGTTTATTATTTGGAAGTTACATGTTTAATTTTCATTTTTTTTAGTCCATCAATTTTTAATATTTTCGCGACGGATTCCAACTTTTACTGCTTTTACTATTTACTTTTGCCCTATGTTCAATAATGTTGTAGTGTCTAAGTACATAATTGTTTAAGAGATACATTCTTCCAAATTAGTTTGAGTAAGAGCTACAGTCTGGGGAAAGATAATAGATTATTTGGGAATTGAATAGTGTCAAAGAAAAAACTTGTTTTCATGCTTATGATGATTTACAGTATTATGATAATAAAGAAACTGAGACTTCTAAGGAAAGGAATTTGTCCTGTGTAATTTCAATTTTATGCCATATTTGATAATTATACATTCAAAATAATCTTTTAAATCAAATTGTTTATGATAATGCATTGTCATTGTTCTTATATTATTTTATTAGGTCTATACTTTACTGACTACCCTACCTGCAAAATAGTTGTATATATAGATCAGTCAAGGTCAACCTACAATCACCCATGAATTCGTGTTAAAGAAGTAATTTTCGTTTACTACAGCCAGATAGTAATTTTTCCTGATATTAAAACTATAGTTTTTGTTTACATAAATTTCTGAGTACAAAAATATTAATGGAAGATATACGAAATATTAATTGATTAACTATAATTCTGTATGAAAAATTTTAAAACATACATTCAAAATATATTCTCCGTAGAGTAATAAAATGTTTGAGTATTTACATAATACTCATCTCATTAATTATTCATCTACGACTTCACGTTTTACATCACGTCATTTAAAGTCATCATTGCATAAAAGAACTTCATGCTGCGATCGTTTTCTAAATACACGGTTTGTTTCTTAATTTATGTGATCAACATTTAGAGATTTAGTATTTTTAATCACTGTATAACGTATAGGAATCTCTCAGGTATTCTGTTGCTTTGTAAGTTGGCCACTACATAATATTCTAAATATTCTTGAATTTTCGTATTTTATAATAGTTCAGCGAACAAGTTTAACTAATATTATAAATCTCTTTATATATTTATAACATTCAAAGAATTTCTAAATTAATTATTAAAATTTGCAAAGTCACCAAAATTATGTTACAAATTTTGAAAATATTTCGTCATCAGTTTCAAATATTTAATAAAGCATATAAGTAAAACGTGCTCAACTTTTATACAGTGAAATCTCAATTATCAATTGTTTGTTTCAATGTCCCTTAACACTATTTCTACCGAAGGTATTAAAAGACACCTTTTGAAATATTAACTTAAAATTATCTTCCAAGTTTAGTCGTATATTCTGAACTCACTTTTCGACTTTTCCAATAACGATTATAAATTTAACTATAGGGAATGTCTAAAATCCAATTAAGGAAAAGTGATGAAACTGAGAAAATAATTTTAAGTTAAAATTTTAACACCTTTTTAACACCTTCGGTAGAAATAGTGTTAATCTAACATTCGATTCTCTGTACTATGTCGCGTAATAGTTACATATTACCAGTATATTTATGTATTACTGTACGAACAAACATGTTGAGGCGTAGGGAAAAAATTATGAACTTGAATAATTTCACACTGTAAATTGTTTTTTATTTTTAATTTTTCGAAATCAATAGAGTAACGAAGGCATAAGACAGCTAGCATTTTCAACGGAGAAACAGCAATTTTCAAGATATGAGAAGTAGTAGGAAAGTTATGATAGATCAAGGTACTATTAAAAATACTAATAGAAAAGGTAATGTCACGAATAAAATGTAATGAAAATTAGAATAATTATTAAAGCGTATTACCAAGGAAGTTCAAACACTCAAAATTATATAAAAAATTGAAGTTAGTTCAACTAATTTGACTAATTTGATGTTTTTTAACTAATGATTTTTGCAATGAATTCTTACGTAGGTAATCCCATCTTTCCAGTTATAATATAATAAAGACATGTCATCGAATCATGTATTACACTTACGTATAAAACAGAACACTCAAAGAAATAAAAGTTTGTATTGAGTTTGTATTCTGCAGTATCCCAAATAGAAATTACTAATACCCCATATTAATTATTTAAGTAACTAAATTAATAATTAAATTTGTGATTCGCTGGCAAAAGTGTTTTGATTTGAAATGATTTTAGTTCAATTGATAAACTTTATCTCTGTATGTTTACAGAATGGATAGGTACAGCTAAAATTCGATATATTAATTCGAACAGCCTAAT